TTGGTTCAAATATAATTTTGTCACCTCAATTACATTTTTTCAATAAAAAATAGTTAATTGACTCAACCAAATCTTTTTCTCAGTGTATACAGCTGACTTTTAGAATTGTTTATTAAGAATTTTTTGTATGAATTCATAAGTTTTAGTGGCATACCTCCGCCACCGCTGCCGCTACCGCTGCCGATGCAGAAGGAGGAGAGATTAATAGAACTTAATTGGTATGAGAATGAAACATTTATCAACAATGCTAAATCCATAAAAGTGATGGAGGAGCTAAACCTTTATCAAATGGTTCAGCTAGATGAAGAAACTTCTGTCTTTTCTTTTGAATGTTCAGGTTAGAATAAGTATGCATATACCTGTCGATATTGTCAGTTGTTCCGTATTGTCCTGAACCTGTATTTATATGTATGCAAATTCTATGCTAGCCTTTTACGAGTTTCTGTAAATTTATGTGTACGCCATCTGTTGGCAACACACGAAGCTTGCCACTTACTATTTAAGTTTCAGAAAACTTTTGAACTTTGACAATAACCCTTAGAATTCCAAAATATTTTCAAAAAGTTTCTTTGCAAATTTTTGTAATACAAATTTGCGTTGCCAATGAAATGTATCGAAAGTTTTTTTAACCAATTTAATGAAATATTTCGTAATTTGTGGATACATTTTTCAAAAATCCCTGTTTATTTACTCAATTATGAATGTATGAGTTAAGACTCAGCCATTTAAAGTATTTTTTTCAACAAAAAACAATTCTAGTCTCATCAATAATTTTGACTTTGTTATTTTTTTTTCTCGTGTAGTAGTGAATAATTGTGAAATTTTCACTCACATTTCTTATTGGTATTTTTTAAGTTATTTTTATGTAGATGTGCATAAACTAATATTTTTTAGTTCGTACAAAAAATTTAAAGCCGAGGTGGGTGTACTTTTTTCCTCCTACTGCGCATATAGTCAGTGTGTTGCGGGGCTGTTTATATATACTTATTTCGGCTGATGCAAACTGTGCTTATGACACTACAGCAGCAGCAGCTGTCGCGGCAGTCTCGTCTTAAGATAAGCGTTTTATGCAACGCTTTTTTGTTACCCCCAGAGAAAATACTACTCTTTTCTCGCGCGGGATGCTTTTTTCATTCGACGCGCTCGCGCGTACACACACACACGCGCGCGCATACGAATTCATGGAAATGCTCGAATTGATCTTTCACGCCTGACTATAATATGGCTTTACTACTGAAGATTAGGAATATCTCTCGATCGCGCTTATATATCTTATACGCGTTCGACTTTTTGGCGCAATACGTATGTGTGCGTGTTTATTTATAGGCGAGATTCGCATAAAGAAGAACCCGCGTTATCTTGGCGGGCGTTTTTTAAAGATAAAAGTAAATTCTTCGATGGGATTGCGCTCGTGCGAGGCAAATCACGCGTAGTTTGCTCGTACGTTATTTCAGCTCGTACATTAACAGCAACAGCAGCAGCAGTTTGGAGTCTCTCGCTGGGGCTTAATGCTCGCCAATTTTGCATTGGAAATTAATTGAGAGGAAAAGTCCTTGCCGCAGTGTAGCCGCGTATATATAACGCGTGCACGTACACTCGTGGACACATTTATCTATCACCCAAGTATTTTCTACGTGCACGCGGTGCAGTACAGTGCAGTCCATGAAAGTTTGGTCTTTTTCCCGACACTGCCCGGCCAAAGCTTTACACGTTACGAATATACGACTCGTAATTTGCCGCAGTGTCAATAACCAAACGGTCGTGTCTCTGCGCGTGGCTATATATATTTATGCTTGTATACAGAGAAACGAGAGAGAGAGAGAAAGCGAGAGCTAAAGCGTGAGAGAGAGTCGAGGGTGTACGCCATGCGCGCAGAGCTGCAATATGAAATTGTTCGGCGTACTTTGTGTTTGCGTGGGTGCGCGCGCGCGCGGCAACGCCAAGGCCTTGGCTTTATCAGTTCATGAATATTGATAAAAGCGGGCAGAACTGAATATTCATGGATGTTCAATCAAGTGCACCAAGAGGCAGTCACCAGCGACGAAACGCAGGCTATATGTAGCGCCACCAAGCCCATTGGCGCAAGCACACGCACACCCACACTCGCATTGCACACGTTCACAAAGCCCACCGAGAGAAAGAGCGAGAGAGAGTCGCTTATGGGGCTGCATGATGCTCGCTCGGTCGCGCGACAGTGCGACGATAGAATATATGTACGCACGGACGATCGTGTATGCGGCGGCGTCGTCGTCGTCATTCGAGCAAGGTGCCGAGCGCCGAGTGCGGCGGCAAACGCTTACCGGGAAAAAATAAGCTTATTAAAACGTGTTGTAGTTATCGTTATATGCATAGCATACGCAACTTTGTATAATGAGTTAATCAATTTATCCTTACGTGCAGTCCCCGCATTATACACATCGTGTGCACGAGTCGAATTATTATAGGTCAAAAATCGAGTGCAGTAATTTGGCTCGTGCTAACTAAAGTACTCACGTAGGCTTACGCTCGACCTCATTATTAATTGAGCCAAGCATAGTTATCGCACCTACGTCTTTCTGTTGACTAGTGGTATACGTGCGCCCTCTCATGCCTTTTCTCACTGCGCCGTGCGTATATACGCGAGAGAGAGGCCACGATGTTAAATGTTGGGTATTTTGTGTGCACTTACGATGCGAAGGTGTTGGCAGCTCGTTGCGTACATTGCCATAGGCGCGCCCCCACGTACTATATATATACTACCACGACTTCAAAAGCTCAGAGTCAATTAAGCAAAATGCACGGCTGCCTGAGGTGCAATAGTTAGCCAAGTATAGACGCGCGCAATTAGTATTAGGCAAAAAGGATCGTAAGTACCGGTACGAGTGCGCGAGGATTGTTTCGCACCTAATTGGAAAGAGCGAATTGCGTATTATGAGCACGCAAAACTTTTGATCATTTATCTACGCGCGTACGTAGAATAACGTTCTTCTATTATATACGAGCACAATTTTAAAAGAGCTATATATACCCTAGACTGACGTGATTCATCATGCGCCAGACAAGGCGAGCATAAATTTTTCAATGAGAGTAGTTGCTTTAAATGGTCCATATACTTGGTATGCACGGGCGACTATGCACGCATCAGCCGTAAACACGGCTGGCCAATGAGTCACTCTATTAAACGCGCCGAAAACTCTCTCGTATAATGATAAAGAAAGTTTCTAATTTGTTTTTCTCGTCGACCGTGTGTACGCTCAAATGAATCCGACTCGCCTTCTTGTCTTGTGCTGTGTAGTACGTATAGCGGCACCGTTGCAGCCACGTAGACGACGCGCGCGCCTAGCTCTAAACGAAGTCTTTATTTTCTTGATCGCGACAGTCGTTAAAGGATACGCGCGACGGCGCACCGGGCTGCCGAATAAACGCCGTGGTATAAACGAGGTCACACCGACGACTTGAAAATCAGCCGTGAAAAATAAGTCGAAGAGGAGAAGGAGGAGGAGGAGGAGGAAGGTTATAGAGGCAGGCTGAAAAAGGCGAATAGAACTTTTGCTCCAACTTGGCGTTGCGCGCACATACGCCCGTGTAGTTTTCTACAATTTTCCTTCTCTAACACGCGAATCCAATAGACTCGAGTAAGAAAAGAATGGAGTATATAGAACGGCTGCTGCTGCTGCTGCTACGGCTGCAGTTGCCCTCGTGGCATGCATGTATATGTGCGTGCATAGAAAAGAAGATTACTATGCAGAAGGCGAAACTCGGGAGCGCACGCTTCGTTGGGTTATGGAAATTTTCTTGGGTCATTTGGGCGTGCAGCTCTCGCTCTCTCTCTCTCTCAGCTGCCATCATCATACTCTTAGTCGTGCGCGCGGGCGCGCGGCTGATCGCAGGCTACACGTAATATAACGTAAGCGCGTTCGGCAAGAGCGTTGTTAGAATCGTCCAGGTGATATTGAATATTGAATGTGTGCCCGCGCGTGCATTTGCAAGTAAATCGATTCCCCCCCGCGTATAAACACAATGGAAGGAGCTCCGCACGGGAATATCGGCAGCTGTGTATACGGAGCAATTTTTTTTTTCTTCTCCTCCAGGAGTATACATAATATAACTAGCCCCATCCAATGCGATTCATGCGACTAAGACCTACTCGTACTTCGAAAATTCATAACATTTTTATTTGTGATGGATTCATAACGATTGTGTGAAATTGACAATTGATACCCAAACGTATCGAAAACCATATCCACGATCCAACTCGTATATTGTATAAATATGTAAGTTATCGCAACATAATTATACTAGGCTAAATAATAACTTTATCCCTGGTAGATATGCTCAACATTAATAATGGACTAATGAACAAAATATGAATATTTAATTTTTTATAATCATGATCATTTGGCCTTTCTTAATAAATTTCTCTATAACAATAATATTACAATTCTTTTTAAAATTTTAGATCAGTTTTTCACTACTTCGATTCTCAACCACTAAATGGCAAATATCAACATCTAAGCCATTCTATCAAGCATGCCGAGGAGGCCGTGCCTATTTTAAGACGATAAATCGAAAAAGGGCATATTACTCTTGTACCAAAAAAACCTAGGTACTTATACCATATTACTATAAAAATAGACAAAAATAAAGATAATGGGCCAATGGCAAGCCAAATAGATTCAGTGTACATAGAGATAAAAATATGATTAAATAGTAATTTTCACGAATTTTATATAGTCAAAAAGTTATCATTACTTAAGAAAAAGTATGGTATTTATGGCCAAAAATTGTTGAAACAAAAACTTTGCATTCTCGGGAAGTATACATGCTAACTAAAAAGATTAAGCTGTGAAGACTGTATACTGGCAGGCAGTAATTTTACAAAAAGTGATTTTTTTGACAAATTTTTAATCTCAATATAGCTTTGAAAATATTATTTGGTGGAAGGTTTTTTACAATTAAGAAAAATTAATAGTAATTTCAAATAATGTATTTATCTCTTTATTTACCAAGATTGTGTACTTTTATTTATGATCATGTACTGCATTTATGTGAGTTTTTAGGTGAGCCTTTTGCTCAAATGTTTGACGGCAAATTTCACATTCGAAGAGTTTTCTCCAATCATGCACTACATTTATATGAACTTTGAGTGTACTTTTTTGTCCAAATGACTTTTGACATATGTCACACTCAAAGAGTTTCCTATGACCATGTACTGCCATTACGTGAGTTTTTAATACATTCTGGTATCCAAATGATTTGTGACAAATGTCACACTCGAAGGGTTTGCTATGATGATGCACTGCATTTACGTGAACTTTAAGGTACTTTTTTTCTCCAAATAATTTGTGGCAAATATCACACTCGAAGGGTTTGCTACAATGATGTACTATATCTATGTGACGCTGAAGGTGATGTTTGTATCCAAATGATTTATGACATATGTTACATTCGAAGGGTTTGATATGATCATGTACCTTACTTATGTGCTTCTTGAGGTTACTATTGCATCCAAATAATATGTGACAAATTTCACATTCAAAGGGTTTGCTCCGATTATGTACTACATTTACATGAACTTTAAGGTACCTTTTTCGTCGAAATGATTTGTGACATATCTTGCAATTGAAAGGTTTATCAAGTTCATGTACTAAATTTTTATGTTTCTTCTTTCGAGAGATTTTTTGTAATACTTTAACATCCTTAAATTCCTCGGAATTCTCCATTTTTACACTGCTTGTTGATGAAGGTTTCATTTCTGATTTAAAATCCTCGCATTCAAAAACTATCGATATATTTTTATTAATATCATTAGTCTGACTTTCGTTTTCTTTTTTCACGATTAGTGGATAATTTTCATACTCAGTTTTGAAAATAGTTGTCGATAAAGACTTTAATTCGGGTTTAAAATCATTGCACTCACAATCAATGAATATTTTTTCGTCTAACTTTTCCTGTGAGGCCATAACCTCATTTATGTGACACACCTAAAATTTAAAATGTATCATAGTTTTTTGATAGTGGGAAATTTAAACATAATTCAAATTATCGAGCTCACCGATGGTTTATAAAACGTAGATGTTGCAAAGTTTTTTGTCTTGCAAGAGTCCACCGAATTAAAATTACACTCATAACCTGCATCTGGCCAAATATCAGTAGGTTCTTCTTTCATCCTAAAGAATAATTAAGTTTTATGAGACGATCGCTTAAAAAATACCATGACACGTTCAAACATTAATTATACCTAACGGCATCTCCCTTGCTATTCATCATTCGCTTCAATCTTAATTAGATGTCTTCACTGTGAATTTTCACGATATCCACTGAAGAAAATTTGAGGTTAAACGACTTGAGTCACCAACACTGAACATCGAATCTATGAATTTGTAAACACTTGCTCAGGAATTCAACTTCTAAGCAGCGACTGAACACACTACTCGTATATTAGCGAGGAGACGCCGCGTTTCTGGTAGCACCTTGGCGATACTATCCCCTCCACCGTCGACTGGCCATATATACAGTACTGTATTTGTGATTTGTATTGACTCGCTCGCGTATATTTGAAACTACTCCAAAAATGTAATGAAAATTGCATCAATTCAGGCGCAAAATTTTCTTTTATATACAATCAATTAACGTTAATTCTATCCTGTGGAACACATATAGGAACGTGTACAAGCAAACGAAATTTCTCACTTTTTTTAGTATAAACCAAGCAGGTTACTCTTATCTGGAATCTTTCGGGCTTAAAGTGTCTCGTTCTAATGACTCTTTATGCCCAAAAACTGTATCAATCGGCCAAAAACTAGCCATAAAATTCAGAGAAATCCCATCTGGGTCGTGACTTTTCTAAGCAAGGAAGATGAAATTACGCTCTCAAGGGTGAGCGGATCGAGGGAGAAATTGGTTCTTATACGTACATAATCCTATCGTACACTCAATCAAAGTCCTGCCATAAGCGCGTACGCAGCTCTATATACCAGATGATGAACGTAGTGCATTCCCATGTATGTAAGCTGCCCATATTATCTGCAGCACCGGCACAAGTAGTTATAGCAATGGAGCCAAGAGAGAATTAGAGTTAGGCGCGTGAGCAAATGCTCAAGTTTCGTGCGCAGCGCTCGTCGTTCGGCAACTATGCAATTCTGCCCCGTATAGGTGGCCACTGCCCATGCCTACGATATGCCTACATCATCGTGTGCGCGCACGAAGTCGTAGCTGCAAGCTCAGTTGGAAATTTCATACTTACACACACACCCGCGCTGCAGTCGTCGCTCGAGGGGCTAAATCGATGCCCCTTGCGTACGCAACATTACTCGTCGCGCGGGATAGAACTTTTTAATTCGCGCCCAGCGTCATTTTTACAATGCCCGCTGTGTGTACGCGCTGGGCAAAGTAGAAAGCGAACGAGCTTCGCGAGAGAACGGAGAAGTGCATCGACACGTTTATACGGCGAGCACACACTCGAGCGGGGCTGCGTAAGTGTCTCGAGCGCGTCGTCGCTCGTGTGATATTTTCTCATCTGCATCCGCTTTGACTTTTAAATAAGTGTATAAACAGTCGAGGCTGCTGCTGCTGCTGCTGCGGGCTTGCACATAGCAGTACGCGCGCATCAACGCAAAACCAATATCCCCCGCCTGCATATATATAACAACGTGCAGTCGAGCTATTTGCGAGAGCTGTGCCGCCGTCGTCGTCTCACTTTTGCTCCGTATAAATTTATATATCGTGCGCGCGTGCGAGTTGTTCGTCGTTAAACGGCTGCAGCAATATATAGCTTTGCTTTTTTCTCGATCTTCGCGTAACATTTCCATTTTTAGCCTGCGTGGAACAAAAAAAAAATAAAAAAAATAAACAAAAGAAGAAGGATAAGAATAAGAATTAGAGATTTTCTTGGGGGAAAAATTACTCTTCGTCTCGAGGAACGAACAATCAATCCTCGACGCAGCAAACTCGATACTGCTCATTAGTAGCTTGAAACTTCTCTTTGCGGATAGAGATACATGCTACGTGTGTGCGCGAATGTGTATGTGTGTGTGCGCTGTGTGCTGTGCGGGGCTGCGGAAGAGAAAGGAAGCGTAAAATACAAGTCTTAATCACGGCACGTCAAGCTTTCTCTCTCTGGATAGAGAGAAAAGTCTATACGCACACACACACACACACACACACGTGAGAAGGAGAGATAGGTTGATGGTCGTTCGAGTTAACTCCCTCTTCTCTCTTGTAGGTCCTTCTTGGCCTTTTCGTACCGTAAAATTGGCTCGCTGAAATTTTCTGCAACGTGCAGCGGGTATATATAGTGCATGGCGTGTGCCGTGGCAGCAGCAGCAGCAGCAGCAGCAGCAGCTTACACAGACCAATACAAGCTAAGCCGTTAACTATCGGCCCAACCCCCTCTTCACGTTTATATCCAACTGTTCTCGAGCAGACCGTGCACCATCCCACTTTGCTTTATTTCCTATATATAACCCTAGACCGTACGAAAGGGGCTGCGATGATTATTGATCAATCAATTTTCGAATTACAACTTGAATATAGACTTGACCTTTCGCTATCGTCTCAATCCAGAGTATAGTCTTGGCGCTATATGCATACTCGCAATTGCTCGAATGATTTATATAAACTTTGCGAGCAGCTGTTATGCCTTACGCGCCTGGATACACCGTACACACGCACGCACACACTCGAGCTCGTGTCGCTTGCTCAACTCCTTCGCAGTTCGCTCGCGTGTACATTATGCACACACACCTATACAGACTCGTCCACGCACGTGTATCATCTTTCTATTAATTACAAGCGCTGCACGCACCACGCTATATGTGTGGGTGTGTGTGCGTATGTAGTCGAGCTCGTGCACAATTTAGTTGGCGCGTGAGAAACTTCATCATCATTAGACATTCGAGCGCGCACGAGATAGAGGGAGAGGATCGAGTTCTAATATACCTTATATGTGCTTCTGCCGCTGCAGCAGAGCAGGTTGACTTCTCTCTATGCTACGCTACGTAGGAAATTGTAAATAATACAATGTGCTGCTGCTGCTGCTCTAGCCGCGTCTTCCGTCTGCGGGCGCGGTATAATTTTACCTTGCGCGCGGCTGAGACTACACGAGTCAAAGTTATGTGTTTATATATATATGTGTGCGTGTGTGTGTGTGTGTGTGTGTGTGTGTGTGTGTACGCGCCAAAAGACAAACAAACTCGCGGAGAACGCGAATTCCTCTCGAGTATATGAAATAAACAAGCCGTATAAGTAAGCCATAAGGATACGATGACAGACTTCGTATGATATTAAAAAGTATCGATCTAATGCGCGCGATAGCACGCAGATTAAAATTATCTCGTGCTCCGGGGTTGATCGATTTATGCCATACGCACACATATAGTATACCAACATCGCTTATACGCGTCCATAATTTTTCCACGCGAGCTTCTTTTTTCTTCGATAAATTCACCCTTGCACGCGAACTAAAAGTAACTTCGGGATATGCTCGAGAAGCGATCGAAGCTCGCTGCGAGCTTGCGAGCGAAGCTCAACTTCAAACTTGATTTGACCCGAACTCCACGTATACACATAAAGGGGAGCGATGGACCTACGACTGGTTTTACACCGACTTGCGAGCGGCGAAACTTCACCCCCCCTCGGTAAATTCTCCCTCTATATCGCCTCTGTGGAGGGATCATTTCGCGATTGCGACTCGGGAGTCAAAGTGTGCAAGCTCTCTGCCAACACAAATATTCCCCTTTCCAATAACCATGATATTTATCAAATATTTGATTTAGGAGCGCGCGCACGAGTCATCGAACGAACACAATTAGCGATCCCGTAATGTATACGTAATGACGTTTGCGCATCCTCCGGTAATTTTTTCTCAGCCCATATCCAGCCTCTCTCTTTTCTATACGCGCGCGATATAAATATCGAATCCGAGAGCTACAGCGGAGAAAATTGAATTATTGTTTGATTATGGGCAATATTGCAGCTAAAGTACCGAATCAAATGTTAGAGCCGCGATTGCGCTGGCAGCCCATTGAAATTCTAGAAACGAAGCGACGACTCGCTGCTGCTGCTCTCAGCGCGCAATCAGCAAATGCTCACTTCTCGCTCGCTCGCTGGCGCGCGTGCACGCGTGCGTAATGCGAAAGCAAGTGAACAACGACAATAATGATAAAAATGAAACTAGGCGTTTTAGGGTCGAAATGTGCAGCAGCACGATGCGCCATTACTCTCTCTCTCTCTTTCCCATCGTGTCTCTCTTTTCTCTCGCTCGTTCTCGATAATCCGATTGAAATTGTCAACGAGCGTATACACACACACACCCCCCGATGATGCTAGCGTCAACAGGAGCCTAATAAAAATTTACTCTCATTTTTCCTTCTTTTTTGTCCTCTCTTTCATCCATCGAAAATCTCGTGCGCCGTGTGCAGCTCTCGTCTGCTACATTGGACTAGGCTACAGGTATATAAGAGATAGAAGCTCCTCTCTTCTAACGCGAATGTACACACACACACACACTCGGCAATTGCCACGATGACTCGGAGGAAAATTGAAGGTAGCTCGTCGTCGTCGTCGGAGGAGGTAGCTCGCGCGCGCGCGCCGCTCTCTGAGCGCACAAGAGCTTGTTAGACTTAAAGGTGACGAAGTGCTGAGGAAACAAGAGGGAAGAGAGAAGGAGAAGAAGTTACATAGAGGTTCGCGTACGACAGACTGCAATATCCCACGTGCGTGTGTGTACAGTATGCGTGCTGCGCGAGCCTGTCTGTGGGTGTGTGCTACCATATATCTATGTTGGTAAACGTATACGAAGATCTTTCCTTCTTGGGAACTAGTGAAATTACTTGTTTCTCGGTGCACGCTGGCAATTCACGCATGAGAAGGCTCTCCAGCCGCCGCCGCGTGACTTTCGCAGCTCGCTACATATTTAAACGCGCGTAAATATAAGCGAACACAACTGTGTGCACGGTAAGTATAGCGGCTCGTTTAAATCGAAAAACTCTTTTCAAGGATAATTAAACTGGCGCAGTGTTGTACTACGTTGTAATGCAGCGCAGTAGAGGAGCTCGGCTCGCGCGCGCGGCGATAAGAATCGTAAAGAATTTCGACTCCGTTGATGTTTAATTTAGCGCGAACGATTTCTGCGACGTATATACCGTTGCCACTGCTGCTTCGGTGCTTTTAAGCTCTGCCCAGCGAGCGATAAGAGCTGCTCCGGAAAATAGGTAGGTGTAGCAGTGGCAGCCTGGCGAGTAAAAGAAATTTGCAGCTACGGCACGCGACAACGCGACGCGAGTAGCGTGTCCTTATATATGAAACGTGACGCTGGAGCGCCCGAGTCTCGCGCGCCTAATGAAGCGTGATAAACTTCGTTAATCTTGTAAAAAGCTCTGCTGCTGGTGCTACTGCTGCTGCCGCTTC